CAAGCTGCGTACGCAAAATATTTTGCGTAAATCTGGTGTACGCAATCGACGTTGCTTAATTAGTTGCGATTCATCAACACAGCTATTTAGTAAACTTTCGTACGATTTCGCGTACGCAAGCGAGGCCGTTTTAGGTGCGATTCATTAAGCTAAAATTTACGTAAACTTTTGCGTAAGTTTTCACGAGCTGACGAGGTGCCGTAAACCACTCGAAATTTTCGCAGGTGTTTCTAGCATACCGAAGCATGCATGACATGCATGATGCATTATTTTATTGAGAAAACATTAAAAAATTACTACTCAACTAAAAATAAATAAATAATTGCCACACTACACAGACAGGCGGCGCCTTTGACGCTTCTTTTGTTATAGCTTGGTATTGTTTTCGTTATGAGCGAGTTCGTAGTTAGCCGTGTACATGCACACGCACGCACGTGTATGTGCACATGCACGCACGCACGCACGCACGCACGCACGCACGTGTACGTACACACGCACACACGCACGCACGTGTACGTACACACACATGTGTACGTGCACACGCACGCACGCCCGTGTACGTACACACGCACGCACGCACGTGTACGTGCACACGCACGCACGTGCACGTGCACACACACGCACGCACACGTGCACATGCACGCACGCACGCGTACGGGCACACACACGCACATGTACGTGCACACACGCACGTGTACGTACACACGCACGCACGCACGTGTACGTACACACGCACGCACGCACGTGTACGTACACACGCACGCACGCACGTATACGTACACACGCACGCACGCACGTGTACGTGTCCCTGCTTTCATCGAGTGTTGAACGCAATCATACAAGCGAAAATGAGGCAACTATCACATCCCCCAGCACTCATGTAGACAGCTAGAGCTAGAGCCATATGGTTTACATACAAGAGCGGCGTCAGTTTGGTTCCTATGGTATATGTCGCACAGTGTGATTGGATATGCTAGGCACTCCCCTCAACAGCCAGCAGCTACGATGGCGTAGTGGATTTACACTGGAATTCATCAACAATTGCGTACGCAGGTGCTACGCTGCGTTGATTAATCGCACCTACGAGGCTACGAGCTTTGCGTACGTACTTCGTAGAAACTCTGTGTATACGCAATACACTTTACGCAACGTTGATGAATCCGGTATTAAAACACCGGCCGGTATTAAAACACAAACGTAACACATTGCAACTGGAATAAACATTGGAATAAAAGTATTGTCCAAGTATCGCAAGCGCACTGCGCACTACGTCGCGCAAGCAATAGTGCCCGCTCAATTGTTTCATACGCAAGCGCACTGTGCACTGCGCAAGCGCACTGCGTCGCGCAAGCAATAGTGTCCGCTCAGGCGGGCACTAATGTTTCATAGTACCTGCGACGTTATCCAATGGAATTTCATCGATTTATCATGTGATGCACTAATAGCTCTTAATTGCATGTATGTACCGTGTGTGTAGTAATCATTCGCCTATCAAGGGATTTAGGTTCCTGGAAGTGCCAAACATGCATTAGTGAAACCGTGGTGGGTGAAGGCGACGAAAACACGGGGTTAGGAATATAAGGCTAAGGTAATATGCACGTGCGTGTGTGCGATCG